TTTTTGAATAAGTGCTATATACATATTCTACATGTTCAGAGCTGAGAGCATCTAGACACGATTTAATCTTTGCAAATTTTTTATATGCCAATATTGATGTGTCACTTTTTGTTAGTTTATAGATAGTCCAACCTATAATATACTGAAATTTTGATGCTTCAGCTGGTTCCAAATCAATAATTTTTTCAGGTATAGTCTATGATTCTGTGCAATTTGGAAAGAGCTGATCATGATATTGCCTGCCCTGCACTTGTTGAAATGTAATTTTTATGATTTTTTCAAGTAGCATATATGCTACCAATCGCTGTACCTCTACTTTAATATTATCGAGAGCCAACAATTGAAAGTCATTAAACCAGCCACCTGCACATTTGTAATTATTCAATCGGCTTTCCAAATTTATTGACCATGTTACAAACCATTGGGCATTTTTTTTTAATAGAACGGAATCTAACACCATTTGATGAATATTTTTTGACCAAGTTACCAGAAGATCCTCTACGCCATTCTGATATAACAACTATTCGATCAATCGTGCTCTCTCAAGCTGCAAGCAATTAATATTTGCATTTTCTACTTTAATATTTTTTATTATCCGAAGACAATGGTAGTTGCAATCGTTCCATTACTAAATTATCATCCAAGAGTTCTTGAAATATTTTCTGGCTAAGAGTAGAAAGCGTTTTAATTTGAGCTTCATGATGATTATATAGTTTTAAATCCTTCTGATTAAATCGTAGAGCTGTTCGGTAATCTCTGCAAAAAAAAAAGCAAACAAAAGTTATAATATTATTAAAAATTTATTAATGAATTTGTATAAGTAAAATTACCTTTGTTTCAAATCACCAAGAGCACAACCTGAGCTATTGGCTAAACCATAATTTAGGCTTCGTATTTCTGATGTCATTTGCATTGTGATTGTTAATTTGTTAATTGCGTATCCATAAGTTTGAACCGTTTGCGTGAAAGAATCACCACCTATTTCTCTAATTGTCCCAAATAAACCCTCGAGCATATCTTGTGACACTCTCCTTGGTTGAATTGTAACACTCGGCCAATTGGTAAGTACATATTCTACAATTCTAATAAATCTGTTGATTGATAAAATCAAATCAAACTGGCACTGGGCAGAAAACCAATGACTAGGATTTTTTTTTTGTTTGTTACCTTGAATAAACTATTGTTTTATTTCTTTCAAAGTGCTTAAGCGTGGATCTTTAAGAGAAGAAATGCATATTCGACTATGCATAATGTCCCGATACATACGTGCATAGCGAATAAATAACTAATGATAATATAAAGATATGAGAACTATTATTATAGCTTAAAGCAAAGAATATATATATATATAGTTTAACTTTGAAATATTTACCTGAGTGCCTTGAGAAATGTAACTTAACTCTGGAATATTTGCCATCGCTTTTTCAACATCAAGTGATAATGTATGCTCCACAAGGTCTACTCTTATTTTGCTCCAAGTGGTAAGCCAAATATGTCACTTTGTCAACTTGGTAGCTTTTGCAGTCATATGTTTTGTTGTATGATCATATATACCACGAAAATGCTGCCAACTAATTTCCCACCCATTAAACATTATTTCTCTTATATTCTTGTTCTCATCATTGCTAATATAACTTTTAGAAACATTATTTCTTAACTTCTTGAAGACATGGGTTGAATCATTTAAAAAAAACCATGGTTTGCTGGTTACAGGATTAATTGTACAATGCGATGCCCAATGTTCATTTTCATTATATACAGGGCGAATATCACAATATAGTGATTTCCATATAAAAAATTCAAATTTTCTATTACTTTCAATTATAACTTCGATGTCCAGATAATTATCTGTCAAGATTTCAGTAAGTACTTTACCAAGATACCATTCATTGTCAATTGTACTTCGGACTTCACATTGATCATTAATTTTCCAAATAATTTTGCCTGGTATTGGGGGTCGTAAAGGCGAACGTGAAACATTATGATAAGCGTGTGTAGAGCCTGAAAGTTAAATTAAAAATTTGGTACGTTCTGAGTTAAAAGAAATTATTTTAGCTGGTTGATAACTCTTTTTTCCTAGTTTATTCGACAACTGAACTTCAACTTTGTTATTCGCTTTCCAAATTGTTGCAAACCAATCGAAGCTCTTGATATGCCTCCTATTTTCATCTGCACCATCGCAAATAG